TCTACATTAATGTCCAAAGGGTCCAAAATTAAACTTTGTTTGATTTTAGCAAAAATTGAATATATGAGGTTCTTTGATATGCTGAATCTAAACATGTATTTAGATTTTTGATTTTTGGCCCAGTTTTCAAGTTGGTCCAAATTGGGGTCCAAAATTAAACTTTGTTTGATTTCAACAAAAATTGAATACATGGGGTTCTTTGATATGCTGAATCTAACCATGTATTTAGATTTTTTATTTGTGGACCCCGTTATCTAATTGGTTCATATTGAGGTCAAAAGGGTCCAAAATTAACCTTTGTTTGATTTCATCTAAAATTGAATTATTGGGGTTCTTTGATATTCACAATCTAACCGTGTATTTAGGTTTTTAATTTTGGGTCCTGTTTTTTAAATTGGTCTACATTGAGGTCCAAAGGGTCCAAAATTAAACTTAGTTTGATTTTAACAAAAATTGAATTATTGGGGTTCTTTGATTTGCTGAATCTAAACATGTGTTTAGATTTTTGATTATGGGCCCAGTTTTCAAGTTGGTCCAAGATAGGGTCCAGTATTTAAACTTTGTTTGATTTCAACAAAAATTGAATATATGGGGTTCTTTGATATGCTGAATCTAAACATGTATTTAGATTTTTGATTATGGGCCCAGTTTTCAAGTTGGTCCAAATTGGGGTCCAAAATTAAACTTTGTTTGATTTCAACAAAAATTGAATATATGAGGTTCTTTGATATGCTGAATCTAACCATGTATTTAGATTTTTTATTTGTAGGCCCCGCTATCAAATTGGTTAATATTGAGGTCAAAAGGGTCCAAAATTAAACTTTGTTTGATTTCATCAAAAATTGAATTATTGGGGTTCTTTGATATGCCAAATCTAACCGTGTTTTTAGATTTTTAATTTGGGTCCCGTTTTTTAAATTGGTCTTCATTGAGGTCCAAAGGGTCCAAAATTAAACTTAGTTTGATTTTAACAAAAATTGAATTCTTGGGGTTCTTTGATATGCTGAATCTAAACATGTGTTTAGATTTTTGATTATGGGCCCAGTTTTCAAGTTGGTCCAAGTTGGGGTCCAAAATTAAACTTTTTTTGATTTCAACAAAAATTGAATATATGGGGTTCTTTGATATGCTGAATCTAACCATGAATTTAGAATTTTTATTTGTGGGCCCCGCTATCAAATTGGTTTATATTGAAGTCAAAAGGGTCCAAAATTAAACTTTGTTTGATTTCATCAAAAATTGAATTATTGGGGTTCTTTGATATTCCAAATCTAACCGTGTATTTAGATTTTTAATTTTAAGTCCTGTTTTTTAAATTGGTCTACATTAAGGTCCAAAGGGTCCAAAATTAAACTTAGTTTGATTTTAGCAAAAATTGAATTCTTGGGGTTCTTTGATATGCTGAATCTAAACATGTGTTTAGATTTTTGATTATGGGCCCAGTTTTCAAGTTTGTCCAAGTTGGGGTCCAAAATTAAACTTTGTTTGATTTTAACAAAAATTGAATATATGGGGTACTTTGATATGCTGAATCTAACCATGTATTTTGATTTTGGACATTGGACCATAATAGGTAAATTAAAAAAATTCAAGTTCTTAGACCACATTCTTTCTGTGTCAGAAACCTATGCTGTGTCAAATATTTAATAACAATCCAAATTCAGAGCTGTATCAAGCTTGAATGTTGTGTCCATACTTGCCCCAACTGTTCAGGGTTCGACCTCTGCGGTCGTATCAAGCTGCGCCCCAGCGTAGCATTTTATTTACTTTTAAATGGACTTAGATTTTCTGCCAGGAAACAACACATTCACTCTGTGGTTAAAGTTTTTAAAATTTCAATAACTTTCTTATACTATTTTGGATTTGTACCAAACTTGGACAGCAGCTTGTTTATGATTTTTTTTTTCCTTTTTTTCCTTTTTTTTTTTCTTTTAAAATTTTCCATTTTAAGTTGGTTATTTCTGATTTATATTTAAAAGCAAATGATAATGATATGGTAGGAGATACACACCAAACAGGATGTGTAAATTATTATATAATAAGTATTGTGCAATAGCAAGAAATTTTCAATTGCACAGTATTGCACAATAGCAAGAAATCTTCAATTGCACAGTATTGCGCAATAGCAAGAAATCTTCAATTGCACAGTATTGCGCAATAGCAAGAAATATCCAATAGCACAATATTGCGCAATAGCAAGAAATTGTCAATTGTACAGTATTGCGCAATAGCAAGAAATATTTAATTGCACAGTATTGTGCAAAAGAAGATACTTCGTATAAATTGCTTATTTCTTGACCAATTTCAATGGGGTTTTATTCTTGAATTCGTGGGGTTCTTTAATATGCTGAATCTAACCGTGTATTTAGTTTTTGGATTTTGGGCCCCGTTTTTAAATTGGTCCACATTGAGGTCCAAAGGGTCAAAAATTAAACTTTGTTTGATTTCATCAAAAATTGAATTATTGGGGTTCTTTGATATGCCGAATCTAACCGTGTATTTGGATTCTTAATTTTTGGTTCTGTTTTCAAATTGGTCTACATTAAGGTCCACAGGGTCCAAAATTAAACTTAGTTTGATTTTAACAAAAATTGAATTCTTAGGGTTCTTTGATATGCTGAATCTAAACATGTGTTTAGATTTTTGATTATGGGCCCAGTTTTCAAGTTGGTCCAAATCGGGGTCCAAAATTAAACTTTGTTTGATTCCAAAAAAAATTGAATATATGGGGTTCTTTGATATGCTGAATCTAACCATGTATTTAGATTTTTGATTTTTGGGCCCCGTTATCAACTTTGTCCACATTGAGGTCAAAAGGGTCCAAAATTAAACTTTGTTTGATTTCATCAAAAATTGAATTCTTGGGGTTCTTTGATATGCTGAATCTAACCATGTATTTGATTTTGGATATTGGACCATAATAGGTGAATGTCCAATTTAAAATTTTTAAGTTCTTAGACCACATTCATTCTGTGTCAGAAACCTATGCTGTTTCAAATATTTAATCACAATCCAAATGCAAAGCTGTATCAAGCTTGAATGTTGTGTCCATACTTGCCCCAACTGTTCAGGGTTCGACCTCTGCGGTCGTATCAAGCTGCGCCCTGCGGAGCATTTTATTGTTTTTATGATATTTTTTTAATTGTTGCTTGATACTTATTGGAACTTAACTATTCTACAATTGGAACTTAAATATTCTACAATTCAAAGCCAGTATTATGGTTAGCCTCATTTGCTCTGTGAAATTTTTACACAATCTGGTTTAAACAGGGGAAAGAGTGAGACTTTAATAGTGCTTGTTAAAAAATGACAAAGAAATCTTATGGGTGGGTACTAAAAATTAAGGTAGGTAGGGTTAGCAGAAACAAATTTTTGTCGAGCCTGCGACTTTTGTCGCAGAAAGCTCGACATAGGGATAGTGATCCGGCGGCGGCGGCTACGGCGGCGGCGGCGTTAGCTAACTTCTTAAAAGCTTTATATTTTAGAAGGTGGAAGGTCTGGATGCTTCATACTTTGTATATGGATGCCTCATGTTACGAAGTTTCCGTCAGTCACATGTCCAATGTCCTTGACCTCATTTTCATGGTTCAGTGACTACTTGAAAAAAAAGTTAAGATTTTTTGTAATGTTAGATTCTCTCTTATTATAAGTAATAGGATAACTATATTTGGTATGTACGTACCTTGCAAGGTCCTCATGCCCGTCAGACAGTTTTCACTTGACCTCGACCTCATTTCATGGATCAATGAACAAGGTTAAGTTTTGGTGGTCAAGTCCATATCTCAGATACTATAAGCAATAGGTCTAGTATATTCGGTGTATGGAAGGACTGTAAGGTGTACATGTCCAACTGGCAGGTGTCATCTGACCTTGACCTCATTTTCATGGTTCAGTGGTTATAGTTAAGTTTTTGTGTTTTGGTCTGTTTTTCTTATACTGTATGCCATAGGTCTACTATATTTGGTGTATGGAATGATTGTAAGGTGTACATGTCTAGCGGGCAGGTGTCATCTGACCTTGACCTCAGTTTCAAGGTTCAGTGGTCAAAGTTAAGTTTTTGAGTTTTGGTCTTTTTTTCTAATACTATATGCAATAGTTCAACTATATTTGGTATGTGCGTACCTTGCAAGGTCCTCATGCCCGTCAGACAGTTTTCACTTGACCTTGACCTCATTTCATGGATCAGTGAACAAGGTTAAGTTTTGGTGGTCAAGTCCATATCTCAGATACTATAGGCAATAGGTCTAGTATATTTGGTGTATGGAAGGACTGTAAGGTGTACATGTCCAACTGGCAGGTGTCATCTGACCTTGACCTCATTTTCATGGTTCAGTGGTTATAGTTAAGTTTTTGTGTTTTGGTCTGTTTTTCTTATACTGTATGCCATAGGTCTACTATATTTGGTGTATGGAATGATTGTAAGGTGTACATGTCTAGCGGGCAGGTGTCATCTGACCTTGACCTCATTTTCATGGTTCAGTGGTCAAAGTTAAGTTTTTTGAGTTTTGGTCTTTTTTTCTAATACTATATGCAATAGTTCAACTATATTTGGTGTATGGAAATATTTTATGATCTATTTGGCAGTCACGCAGGCTTTATTTGACCTTGACCTCATTTTCAAGGTTCATTGCTCAGTGTTAAGTTTTTGTGTTTTGGTCTGTTTTTCTTAAACTATAAGCAATAGGTCAACTATATTTGTTGTATGGAAGAATTGATAGCTGTACATGCCTGCCTAGCATGGTTCATCTGACCTTGACCTCATTTTCATGGTTCATTGGTCAATGATAAGGTTACTTGGTTAATGTTAAGTTTATGTGACAGTTGTAATAAAGCTTTATATTTAGGACTATCAACATAATATCAATGATTAGTAAAGAAGGCGAGACATTTCAGCGTGTGCACTCTTGTTTTTATGAGTCGTTACTTACATAGTTACTTACAAAAAGTTAAGATCTTTGTTCTTTGATTTAACTTTGTGATTTATTAATTGTTTTTTTTAGGTTATCCTATGAAGTTAATTTACTTTGTTTCACCCTATGACCTATTGGACAAGAGAAGTAACTCACCGCATCCATTGACAGTTGAAGGTAACTAATTTACTGGAAAGCCAGTCTTGTACAAATGTAATGCTTGTAATGTTCAGGAAGAATTAATTGTGTAAAATGTTTATTAGGAAATTCTAGGCACAAGTATTTGTGATATGATTTTTAGCTCCTGTGGCATTTATTATTGTCATCATTAGTACATGGTATTGAGAATGACTCAGTATTAAACATACATAATGGTTGATTGATACAGCTTTTTATGCCCCCGCCGTAGCAGAGGGGGCATTAAGTTTTATCCTTGTCCGTCTGTACGTACATACGTACGTCCATCTGTACGTCCGTTCGTACGTACGTCCCAAAGTTTGTTTTCGTTCTCTAACTTTAGTTTGCCTCAACCAAATGTTATGAAACTTATACACAATGCTTATTACCACAAAACACAGACTAAGTTTGAAATTTGGTGCCGTCACGATAACAGTTCTAGAGTTATGCCCCTTTATAATTTTTTGCTAAAATACATTCATGATCATTTTCAATTGAAGACAACATTTTAAGTGAGATAGTCTAAATGTTTGTAAAATGAATTATTCTTTATAGCTATAACAGAATATGAGTGTGGACAGAGTGTAACTGTATGCATACAACAGTGTTCGGTGTCAAGCAGACTTCAGACAATGCCATTGATGAGTGTGGTTACACAAGATGGTAAAAGGTACGAAAATGATACTGACAGAAAAAATATCTCAAATCTCAGAAAATACAGTAGTCAACATTATATTTAGTTACAGTAATTAAAGTTATTCTGTATATGAACTAAAGGTTGACCAGAGCAGTAAAGCTGTAACATGAATTGAAAAAAAAAATACATTGTATTTTATGCGGTATGTGGTTTGTTCTACCTTGTGTTAAGTATCTTCTGTGTATTTGTGTATTGAAAGTTTTTGTCTTGCTGCCTATGATAGTTGCAAAATGCAAGATATAACTATGTTTGGTGTATGAAATAATTGTTAGGTGTAAATGTCTGTCTGACAGGGTTCACCTGACCTTGACCTCATTTCATGGATCATTGATCAAAGTTACTTTTCATGATTAGGTCTGTTTCTCAAGATACTATAAGCAGGAGGTCAACTTATTTTGGTGTTTGGAGTAATTGTAAGGTGTATATGTTTTCTGGCAGGGTTTTTTCTGACCTTGACCTCATTTTCATGGTTCATTTTTTGTCTCGCTTGACGGAGTCAAAAAGCAGGACATAGGTATGCTGTTTCCGGCGTCGGTGATGACGGCGGCATCAACATTGAACAATGTATTAGTTTGTGATTAGGTCTTGTTTATAGTGAACCACTAGTGGTAAGTTAAAGATATTTGGTATGCAGTTTTATTAGTATTGGCACATCTCATTACCATTGAGATTATTTGGCCCAGCCCTCTCAGTTATGGTCTATAGACTTTGAAATTTTTGCATAGTTTTCATGTATTAGTTTGTGATTAGGTCAGTTAATGAGGAACCACTAGCAGTCAGAGCTCTGACATAAACAAGTCAGAATAAAATGACTTCTTCAAGTCAGAAAGTGTTTAGAAATTCTGACCTGTACGCGTAAATTTTTGTTTTGCGTAGTTTTCACTCGAGTCCGTCAAACCAGAAGTTATTTTGAATTTGCCGCCGATCTACGACACATACGATCACGTGGTTTTTTGCAAGAGATCACGTGTTTGAGAGTCGTTGTTTTGGAAGTGTCTCGAACGAGAAGTCATTGAATATTATATTGATTATTTACGATTTTTAGTGAAAATCTAGGTCATTGTGGGCATTTTTAGAAAGGTAATTCATATTACCTCCGTATTTTCATGGGCATTTTTATATTTTTTGCCTATAAAGAAGTTCCTTGCAAGTGATTTTTTTGCTGTTGCATGAAGGCGCGCGACCTGTAAATACGGACGCGTGGTCTTTTAGATGACCTGGTGTTTGACAATTCTGACTTGTTCAGGTCAGAAAATGTTGTTATGATAATGAATTGTTATTTTCGGGAGATAACTCGTGTTGTCTTAAACAATATTAACATTATTAACCAGTCAGTGCAATTTAAAAAGTAAACTTATTGCTTCGAGCTGAACATCGTCACGTGATTTTTCTATTTTTAAACTCAATCACGAACTGATTTTTTAACCTTTCTGATTCGTTTCTCCCTATGAGAAAAACGATCATTGTGAATACTGATATGATGATAATGAAACGAAAATGGGAAAAATTTTGATAAAAGAAAAAAGAAGGGAGGGGTTTAACTAAAGAACCCAAGGGTTTTTTTTTTATTTTTATACGACCGCAAAAAAATTTTGAGGTCGTATATTGGTATGACGTTGGCGTCGTCGTCGTCGTCGTCGTCGTCGTCGTCGTCGTCCGGCGTCGTCGTCCGAATACACAATGGTTTTCGCACTCTAACTTTAGTTTAAGTGAATGGATCTCTATGAAATTTTACCATAAGGTTCAATACCACAATAGGAAGGTGGGGATTGATTTTGGGGGTTATGGTACCAACAGTTAAGGAATTAAGGGCCAAAAAGGGGCCGAAAATAAGCATTTTTGTAACTTCCAGACATAACTTGTGTGTTAGCATATGGATCTCTTTGACATTGTACCACAAGATTCCATATCACAAAGGGTCAATGCTGGGATTGATTTTGGGGTTAATTGCCTCAAAATTTTAGGAATAAGGGGCCAAAAGGGGGCAAAAAACAAGCATTTTTCTAGTTTCATGACAATAACTTGTGTGTAAGTGTATGGATCTTTCTGAAATTTTACTACAAGGTTCCATTTCACAAAGGGAAAGCTGGATTTGAGTGTTGTGGTAATTGCCCAAAACGTTTAGTAATAAGGGGCCTAAAAAGGGGTTTAAAATAAGCATTTTTTAGTTTCTAGACAATAACTTGTGTTCAAGTGTATGGATCTCTCTAAAATTGTATTACAAGGTACCATACCACAAAGGCAAGGCTGTTATTGAGCTTGGTTTGGGGGGAAAGGGGGGTGGGGGTGATGAATCATAAGGGGGGCGGGGTCAAAAAAGGGGTAATTTTTTTTTTTCATTTTTTTTTTGTTTAAAATTTACATTTTAAGTTAGTTATTTTTTATCACGAAGAGAAAGTAGGAATTGAGTTTTGGGGTTAATTGCTCAAACATTTATGAATAAGGGGCCAAATATTGGTCAAAAATAAGGATTTTTTTAGTTTGCAACAAAAAATTGTGTTCAAGTGTATGGATCTCTGTGAAATTGTATTGCAATGTACCATACCACAAATTGAAGGTTGTGATTGAGGTGGGGGATGATGAATCAAAAGGGGGTTGAAAAAATGTGTGGGAGGTAGGATTTTTTTTTTCCTTTTTTTTCTTTAAAATTTTCCATTTAAAGATGGTTGTTTCAGATTTATATATGAAAGAAAATAATAATGATACGGTTATATATCATGAGGAATTGAAATTTAAAATTATGTATATTGGAAATTTAAGTTACATTGGAAAGTAATAATTGGCTTTGGGGGGGGGGGGGGGTGGTTATGGCTCTAATGTTTAAGGAATAAGGGGAAAAAAGGTTAAAAAAACAAGGGTTTCCATTTTAATAGACAAATAATTGAGTAAAGAACATTATTTAAAAGCAGTGTAAGGTTGGTAATTCAAACTCATTTAAATATCTCATCCACACTGCTTTTAAATTATGTAAATTGGAAATTTGCCAATAACTTTATTGTTAATAAATGCATTGGAAATTTGCCAACAATTTTAGTGTAATAAACTTCATTGGAAATTTGCCAATATAAAATTTTGCTGATGAAGGTTTTTTGTTTACCTTTAGCCTTGACTATGAAGTCATTTTCAATTTTTATAGCCTTATGGTGTAGTTGAATTATTTAATACTTTTATGATGTGTTTAAATGGGGTTTTATCATGTTTATGGTTGCAAATTTATTGTTTTAGTATAATAAACTCCATTTAAAATTTGCCAATAAAAAAAATTTTTGTTTATTTTTAGCTATGATTATGATGTCATTTTCTATTTTACTTTTATGGTTGCAAAGAAATTTTTATTTTTAGATATTACTGTTAAATGATGCTGATTAAGGTTTTTGCTATGTTTAGCCATGACTATGATGTCATTTTCTATTTTAATATCTGTTATGATGTATTTAAATGGGCTTTTATGGTTACAAAGGAATTTTATTTTTAGATATTACTATAAAATGTTGCTGATGCTGATTAAGGATTTTCTTTATTTTTAGCCATGACTATGATGTCATTTTCTATTTTAATACCTTTATGATGTAATTTCCATTTTTAGATATTACTGTTAAATGATGCTGATTAAGGGTTTTTTGCTATGTTTAGCCATGACTATGATGTCATTTTCTATTTTAATATCTTTATGATGTATTTAAATGGGCTTTTATGGTTACAAAGGAATTTTATTTTTAGATATTACTTTAAATGTTGCTGATTAAGGATTTTTGTTTATTTTTAGCCCTGACTATGATGTCACTTTCTATTTTAATACCTTTATGATGTATTTAAATGGGCTCCCATGTATTTAGATTTTTGATTATTTATACATGTTACCAAATTGGTCCACATTGAACAAAAACGGTCCAAATTTCAACTTTATTACATTACATCAAGCATTGAATTCTACATATTCTTTGATATATTGAAATTAACAAACAATTTAGTTTATGGATATTCCACCATAATAGGTAAATTAAATTTTTTCCAGTTCTTACACCACATTCATCCTGTGTCAGAAACCTATGCTGTGTCAAATATTTAATGACAATCCAAAGTCATAGCTGTATCAAGCTTGAATTTTGTGTCCATACTTGCCCCAACTGTTCAGGGTTCGACCTCTGCGGTCGTATCAAGCTGCGCCCCAGCGAAGCATTTTATTAAAGTTATAACTTTAGAACAATAAGTGATGCACACACCTGGTCTTCATTTATGATCATGGGACATGATAAAACAAATCAAATGAAATGTAGGGCAAGTCTCCAGGGATCACCCCTATCCCTGTCATTTCTCTATTCCTCTTTATAATGTCAAATTGATTTGAATGAAATATACAGGGCTAGTCTCCAGGTTTACCCCCACCCCCTGCCATTTGCAAATGTTCTTATATTTTGTAAACGGTAGAGATCCCCACCCCTAAACCATATATATTCTTGTATGGGACAATTTAACAAATCAAATGATATGTTGGGGAGGTCCCTGGGGGTCACCCCTACCCCTCCTGTTTGAAAACTTGTAAACGGTCGAGATCCCCACCCCTAAACCATATATTTTCTTGAATAGGACAATAAAACAAATCAAATGAAGTATAGGGGAAGTACCTTGGGGTCACCCCCACCCCCTCCTGTGTGAAAACTTGTAAACGGTCGGGATCCCCACCCCTTAACCATATATATTCTTGTAAGGGTCAATAAGACAAATCAAATGAAATAAAGGTGGAGTCCCTGAGGGTCACCCCACCCCCTCATGTTTGAAAACTTGTAAACGGTCGAGATCGCCACCCCTACACCATATACATTCTTGCACAGGACAATAAAACAAATCAAATGAAATATAGGGGAAGTCCATTGGGGTCATCCCCATCCCCCTTTTTGAAATGTTCTGGATCACCACCCCTAAAGGTAAACCATATGATATTCCTGTTCGTCATTTCAAGAAGATTTGAATGA